TAAAAAGGTACACGTAGCGATTTCGATTTCTGTGTCAGTTCAAGTGAGGTCGAAATGTTCTTTGGTGATGATAACATGTCTCTTTTCGGACCGGCAGGAGGCAGTCAATGTAGGCGGAGCTAACGCGAGTAGATGGTTCTTTCATACGAAGAGGATCTGGACGAAATACCAACAAGCCGTGTGAAAACATAAAGAACAGCAGCGGTTGAAGCGCCGATAGCGAGTATCAGCAGGATAAATTTGTTGAAGACGCTAGTTGTGGTGGAGTCGTTCAGCCAAAATTGATGTCGTTTGGCATACTACTGATCGACGCAAGCGTACAGCATTTTATTGTAATACAAAAATGGCGAACTCAATTAAAAAAATATGTACTGCATTCCCAGTGTAAGTCGTTAATGATCTAGCTTGTAGGTAATATTGTTCTGACTTTAGTGTAAGGATTTGTTGACATTTTTACCGCTACATCATATACGCATAGTGACCTGGCCATTTCAAAGCTATACTATGAGTACGAATGTCTTATAATACATATAGGTCCTATAATTGTAAAGAGATCAAATATGTATATTCTTTCCAGAACCGAATACGAGTATTAAACCCGGGAAGGTTTGTTTAAAAGTACCTGGAGCAAAAATTCAACCAGGTCCTCTGAATATGGTAACTTGCGTCAACGTATCCCTCTCGAAGCTGTCAGGAGCGGTCTCTTCAGCTAGGAGAGAAGATCTCTCACTTCCCTCAGAAGTCAGCATCGATTCCTCAGAATTCAGTATTGTTTCCGCATTCTTAAGGCAGGTCCGAGATGCTAACTCCAGCCAATCTGCAGTCGCTGGTAATTAGTGATTTGTCAAAAACACAGGATACTATCCTCAAATCGCCCAGTAACTGCAGCATCGGGGTCAGTAGGTCAACCGAAAACTGCAGAAGCTTAACCCGTTTTGTGCTGTTGCACCACCTGAATTGAGTTGAACCGTGCGTTACAAGTTGTTCTCCGAGTAACGTCGTAGCAAATGGCGACCCGTCATTTTGCTTTTCACTAGGAGCCAGGAGAGGAAAGGTGCGTTGTAGTGTGGCTGCCGACAGAACCAGCCGAACTTTTGTAGTGGCAAACATTGTGTCTCCAATGGGCTCCAATCTCTCAATAGTGGTCTCGAAGTTTGGTAAATAATCTGCCAAACGGTGGTAGTCTTCGATCAGGCTGTCCACGCCAAAACCAGTTTCGCCCACCACATCCGGCGCCATCGCATCGTATAGAAATTCTCGTTGGGCGCGACATATACAGAGGTATGGCTCTCCTGCGGTGTTTGAACACCCTTCGATGGGCTGCTTTAAGCCGCACCTGAACAGGCGGAAGTACTCTGCGACAACGTTCCACACGGTTGTATCGTTGGATCCACTCCATAAAATGACATGACGATGCTCTTGAATCCTTTGTACCTCTTCTCGAAGCTTCCTGACCTCGCTCATTAGAGTTGCCGTGCGATTCAGGAATTTTTTTCTATAACGCTGCATGCTTTCTCTGTGTGGTTGTTTCTTTGTTTTGCGTTCTGAGCTCGTTTTGCTTGCTGTGTCAAGCGTCATGGGTCCACTCAGATCGCATCTGGCTGATGCGAGCCAGGAAGACGTTCTGTTTTGCTGGTCACTTCTTTCCTGAAGATGCGCCGGTGAAGACGCTGGGGAAGATTTTCGACATAGTTTGGCGTTTACTCGAGTGGTAG